CAGGGGAGGGCATCCATCACACAGTAATCTCGTGCGTGGGAAATTAACGTCTCCTACCCCTAACCTTGCAGGAGACGAGACCTCCATTTATTCGTCCCTATCTGAGAAGACTAGAATAACCATTTCTTGATGTTATAGAAAGGTGGTATATTCTTCTCAATTGTTTTAAGACCTTGAGTGTTGGTCCGGCCGGGGCTCAAACCCTCAACCTCCCGCACAACAGTCCAGTGTTCTATCCATCGAGCTAACCAGGAGGCGGTTTACATACAGCAAACAAGAATCTTTAAGCACAGCCAATCCAAAAAAGGATGTTACACCTGATCCCTTGACCTCTGTGAAGAAGTAAATTAAACTCTTACCTTTACCGGTATGCTTTAAGGTGAAGTTCTCATCAGCAAACTTCTCACCATAAATGGATTTGCCACCAGTTCCATTGCCACGAGTAAAATCTCCCCCCTGTTTATATTAAATGGTTGAAAAAAGGTTAATTGTGTGTACAAGAAGCTCAACAGTCACTTATCCATTTTACAATGGCTGTATCTTTTCATTGCTGTTTTTCACTGTTCAATGTATGGTTGTCCAAGTGCTTTACAACTTAGCACCCTAATTGTGCTATATTTGAGAAAGAATTTGGAGGGCAGGTCCTTTTCACGGCAGAGAAGTACCTAAGAAGGCTGAAATAGCTGGTTAGAATTAGACTCCTATTTCACACATGAAATTTGCAAATCTGACTGATTTTTGGCCAAGAAATTACCAACATGAAGAGGCTATATTTGCTATGTTATTTATAAATCAATTTATATCTTATAACTACAGAAGACAAGCTATAACTCATTGAATAAGCTAGAGTCTGACAGAGACAAAGTCAACATCTTAATGTTGAATTTATTTAGCTCTTGACCTGCAAAGAAAATAGGACATTCTTATGTCTAGAAAACTCATCAGCATCTTTTATTTTAATGAGTGTTTGTTTCCTCAAGGTTAAAATCCCTTGAACTTCTCAAGACAGCAATCTGAAGGCCACAGAAGAGTAACCAGAGTGAGGAAGTGGCTTTTAAAGTAAGGAAGGGTGTACATGCAGTGACAACAGAGTGTTTTAAAACAAGGGGGGGGGGGGGAGTTATCTTTCACCTGGCCATGCACATACCTCTACTCTAATTAATTTCATAGACACCCTATCAAGTTGAATGGATAACTGCTGCAGTCAATCAGCTTCTCCGACACAGGCTGGTGTCATTCAAAAATGTTATATGTAAATATACTCTTTTGCTGTACACGGTGCTGATAAAGGGATTTGTGGAAAGATCACCAGACTGAATATTTTGCCATTTTGCTGCTATAGCAATATTTTTGGCACTTAAGTGTAGGGGGCACTGTGCCCCCTTGCATTTTTGTTAAGGGGTCTATGGTACCCCTGCTCCAAAATAGCAAAATGAGGGTTACTGTGTGGGGCATTTGCTGGGACAAATGAAGGGGTCACTTTAGAAAGGTGGCCATTAAGGAAAGATCAACTTCATGAACATAAAAATGACAAACAGTTTCGAGTTAAAATATGAATAAGGAAAAATAATCTTGAAATTCACATCTGAAGAAGTTACAGAAACTTTACCTGGCACATAAAGTCAGTAATGATTCGATGGAATTTACTCCCTTTGTAGCCAAATCCCTTCTCGCCAGTGCATAGTGCACGGAAGTTCTCTAAAAGAGAAAAACAAAAACAAAAAACCATACAATAAATTGACTGAAATTGACACTGGACTGTGTTGGCCTTAGCAAGTAAGGAAAACCCTTACAACTTCTTCACAATTTACCACTGTGCAGGTGCCAGCTTTAAAATCTAAGATAACACAACAGCTACTCAGAGTACTAATAAAATATCAAAAGGTGAGCATCAGAACTCGTGGAAAAAAAAACAAGCAATCTGTCTCCCCGAAGCATGGGAGAATGAACATGTAAGTGACCTGGCCAATTAGCTCTAATTTCACTTCCTATAGGTTGCCCGAGTGGCACGAGTTTTCTCACCCAATCATGCAACATAGTAAAGCTAAGCTCGTTCCATGCTGCATTTGTTTAAATACTCCTTTGAAAAAAAAAAACTGCTCTGAACGTACTGACTAGTTTCATTGTTAATTAATAGGAGGGAGCGAAATGTGTCTACATTAAGCCTCAAATTTTCTTCATAAATTTTCCGCGGGAGGAATGTCCATTTCTCAACTTGGTAGCAGTTTCTCGAATTGGTTTCTCAATCTTACCAATACCATCTGTGAAAATGTGAAACCTCAACAACACGTGCCGTGCAGTTTCCATTGATTTCTTTCGGTTGACCTGACTGGTGTAAAATTTTCAAAGCGAAACAACAAAATCCCGTTTCTCTCAAGTTGAAATGGGTAATGTTGTCGTTAATGGTTAAGTTTGTTCCACTGAAAACTCCTCGAGGAAATTCAACGGCGTCAACGCATGAAATTTGGGTGATCGGAGTTGTTTCGTGAAAACGATTAAACTTTTGAGCCGATAGTCGACTAGCTAGAAAACTAAACAATTATTTTTACACAAACCTGCAGTCTTCGGGACTACATCAGCTCTGAGCTGTAAATAGTACGGTAAGAAAGGATTAATCGAAAAAGAAAAATGAAACAAAAAGTGTAGACCTCTCCGTGTAAAATACCTTAGCTTTTGTCTGACAACGCTTTCTATTACTGTCAAATATTGCAGAAGATCGTTCTGTTGCTTACCTCCATCACAATTCGTCCGGCAGCTTTTCCGCCGATGGTGATATCGAAAAAAACTCTTGGCCTGGACATTGCTGAGCTTATAAGCCGACGAGACAAAAAGAACAACTTCGCCAGAATAGAACTTTAGGAGACGGAAGACGAAGTAGGGCGTCAGATAAAGTGGAATATCTATCACGTGGTATTGGGATAGCGACCACCCCTACCCCCAACACGATCAGAATGCTGAGATTTTACTGGGATAGAACACAATGGCTGTCAATTTGGGGAAATGACAGCTTTAGGTGATTTTTTTGTGGACAATAAGCATTGAAGCTATGGGAAAATAGCCTTTTTAGCGTATCTGTCTCCGATTCAGGTAATGTTGTAAAGCGAAAATTAACTAGAAGAATGTAAAGAAAAAAAAGGAAGTTGCAAGTTTCTGTCGGGTTCCTGTTTTCAAATCGCGGTACTTCTAGGAAATGGACTCCTAGTACTTTCATTTATTTAAATGATAGTCACCCCTTCCAGTCTCAAAGGAGCCACATAAAATGTTAAGTATGCTCGGATTATAAATTACAACTTGCGGCACACAATATCCATAGCTTAGTTATCCAAAAATCTGAACAAAGAGGTGAACTGCAAAGCTGCAAGAGGCTCGGGACAGAAGATAGTTTTGAAAACACGCGGTATCTTCACACATCACGCGCACTTGTACGCGCGCTAAAAACTGCCAGCTATGCATACTGTATATAGTTCTAATACATAGTAAATTCTCTTTACCCTCTTACTTTCCTTAGTCTCCTTAAAGCATGATCAGACTGTTTAGAAAAGCAATCACAACGTGCGGTCTGTCTGGGACTCCGAACGGTCAGCGCGTTGAAGACGCAAAACTGAATGTCTTCACTTCTCCTCGCGCGTGACAATAGTTTATTTGTGGCCCGAGGAGTATCATTTGCACCCGAGCAGAGCGAGGGTGTAAATAATGCTACGAGGGACACAAGTAAACTATATGCCCGACAAAAGTCACGTGATTATCATTATTATCAATACACAAGGCCAAATCGTAGAAAGTCATTTAATAAAATATATATCAGGGCGGCAAATGTCATTTAAAGCCCGCACTTTGCCATTTGGCCCGCGAAAAGGAGCGTTTTAGAGAGGACAATGTGTCGTTTGACCGCGTTTAGTGGTAATAATCCTTGTTAGCGGGCGCCATTTTAAAACACATAGTCACGTTTACCAAAATATTTCCCCAAGATACGTTTTTCCTTCTATACTTTGTTTTCAAAGATAAATAAAGACAACTGATAAAATTAGACTGTTGAAGACCCCATGTGTGTGGTGTATTTTGTAATAGTATGAGGCATGTCACGTGACTTCATGTGACGAAGTGAGTCTGTGAGCGGCCCGGAATTGGAGGTTTATCTCCCCTCTTCGATTTCTTTTATGGACCCACAAGTGGCCCTACAGACTTTCTTCTTAAAATTTAATCATTGTGAGTAGGCTACAAGTATTAATTGGCTAGAAAAAGTATCTTCACTAGGGTCTTTTGCAAACGCATGCGCATCAAGTTGGTCCTAAATTTTCCAACTGTAATTGTCATAAAAAATTAAATAGAGCAGTAACAGCAACCATAAATACTTACTATTCAAATTCTCCTGTCATCTCAGCCTGTTACTTCGATGCGGCAAGAAACCGACGATCTCACTACCATATGTTTGTGAAATTCGAGATACAACGATTATATTAACCGAACTGGTGACCATTTTAACTCGGAAGCGTAGGGTGCTATTACAGGTATCTCCATCGTATCGCCCCCGTGGCTGATCTGGTGATATCCGTAAAAGCTCTGGTTCGGTACCCTGTCTTAGGAGGCCAATGCCAACCCAAGTTTCTATTCTAGTCACTCCCGATGCTTCGCGCTCGGTTGAGCGACACTTTCACACACCTGAAAGGAGTGTTTCGGTATAAACGTATCCTCGTTGCGCTCGCCTAAATTTGTAGGATACTGACTTAGTCAGTGATATCGCTTCCAGTGGCACTGCAAGTGGCAGTATGCCATTGTTTTGCATTTTCTGAAATTGTCATTAAGAACGAGAAGTTTCTATTCGTGATCAGCGTTCGCGAGCCGATCGCTAGTTTTGCACTTCTTCGCTATGCTTTGCCTTCCATCCCTCAAACTGGTGCGAAAAGTAACCTCGTAAAGCAGCATACTCTCTTCTCTAAGCATTTCTTTAAGTTATTTAGCCAAAATTAGTCTGAGTTTTCGGCTAGGTCTTTTGAAAGCGAAAACAGAAAGATTGATCGACTGCCGAAACAATCCTTACCTGACCCCACACGGGAACAAAGCTCCAGAGGTACTGGGACCTACTCGGCGCATGCGTCGCTTACCATAGTCCTCTTTCTCTATCCAACATGTCGAAGAGAGGTAAGGAACCAGAGAGAGAGGAACCGCAATCGTGTTTCATCGGCTTATTGAAAGGCATCTTGCCGTGAAAGACCCTTTGTATGAAGTTATAGATAAATAAACTTTATTTTAATCTCAAAAAATTTAATGACATTGTAAATTTTCTGTGGAAGTTAAGTCGATAAATGTCAATGTGTTCCCGAAGAGGATGGTTGCAGATGTGTTCCATTATGCTGTTGTTGCGAAGTGCATTTTACTTGTTTTAGGCCTCGATTGAAAATAAGGTCGTGTTTAAGTTGAAAATTTCTCGTTAGAATAGTTTACTTAATTTTTCTGCCAATTATCTTACACGTACTTGTGTAATTTAGTTTGTGCCTTAACTTTAAATGGAACGGAGTTTTGTATGTTAAAAAAACATGGGACTATCACAGCCAATCAAAAATAATGCTTATGAAAATGTCGTTTTTTTTTTCACCAAATTTTATTTCATAGCCAATCTTATGTAGAAGCTATGAAAGACTATATTTTCATGTGTTGTGAAAAATTCGATTAGATGATACACCAAACTCTATGGCTATACATGTTTTGCGCATCACTGCCGCCCTGCAAAGACAAATACTTCCTCAACAGTTGGACATGAAAGTCAATGGTTGATTAAGTCATTGCACATTGCATTGTGACCTCTGTAGAGAACTGCATTTGTCGCATTTTTCTGGCTAGTTTGTGGATTTTTTGTGTGTTATTCTTTGTCAGGACGTGGTGGTTCTTCTGGAGGGAAGTTTCGTATCTCCCTGGGTCTGCCAGTAGGTGCAGTAATAAACTGTGCAGACAACACAGGAGCCAAGAACTTGTATATCATTGCAGTTAAGGGAATCAAGGGTCGTCTTAACAGATTGCCTGCTGCAGGTTCTGGTGATATGGTCCTGGCAACAGTAAAGAAAGGAAAACCGGAGCTTAGGAAAAAAGGTGAGCTAGAAATTACACTAACAGGATATTTTTTAGTCATGAGAAATGGGAGATTTTTCAGGCCTCTGTGGGAAACATTTCTTTGACACCAGCTTTAATAACACTAGTTTTAACAACAAAACTTTCATGCCTACTCCCAACCAAAGTCCAAAAATGCTGGGAGACATTTGAACATGAAATAAACTAACTTGCACAAGGTGAGTTTGCGGAGTTAACTTGTGACAAACTTTTCACCCAATATAAATGAAAATATTCCAAACACTTCTTTGTTGAATTGTTTGGCTACATTTTGA